TTTTAGCAATTTAGCCTCTTTCCTCAACCTCCTGAGTAGTTGGTCCCTCAGTCATGTGCCACCACACCTAGCTCTGTGCAGTATTATAGACCATGATAACCTAGTATTCTCCTAAATACCTGAGCAGCATTTAGGATAAAAGTAAATTCATCTGTGATAAAAATAAAACTCTAATGACCCAAACAGAGTAATAATTTTGCCCAAAGCAGAATAATGTCAGAAGTATTTTCCAAAACTGAGCTACAAAAATTGAACAATGATTGTTTTACTGGCACAAGTAATCAATACTTCCTCAAACTAGTTGGCATAAAAGAATAAATTTTTAAAAGGTAATATTATTTCCTGGCCTTAGGTCTTTCTTATCTACATACCTATGTATGTCCTCTAAATCCCTTCACTTACAGCTCATGCTGTATTTTCCTATGTTGTGCAAACATTCAGACATTCCTGACACAGCATCATAGGATGAAGATTCCCAATCTGAGCCTAAGAATGCTACTAATCTCCCACAATGGTCTACAATTACACTGTTGTGTACTGGTTGTAATCATTGTTCCAACGAGCTATTAAAGAGGTTTGCAAGACCCCAATTCACAACCCATAACCTCTGAACAAATCAAGACTAAGTGTATGATGACCAAATACTATGCTTAAACCAAATATAAAATCTGTTATGAAGAAATGTACATATGATAATACTGTTGCTCTGATGATATGTCCTGACAGTAATATTTTCTCTGAAACAAAAATTATTGCATACATTGCAAACCAAAGTGCTTCCAAAAAAAAAGGGGGGAATGTAGAGGAAGCAAGGCAGTGCTGCTATCTGCCTTTTATATTTATAACTTTTATATTTATAACTTACCTGCAAAGCCCTGAGCAAGTCAATCATCTGTCACCTCATATGAGCCAAATTATTAAGTTTCAGTTAGCCAAAGAACAATAAAAAGGTAGGGAATAATTTTTTCATTCATTGTTTAAACTACAGAAAACTGGCTGATTTAAATGAGCTCTATAATCGAAAGGATTGAGAAGTATAATATCCCCAAAGTATTTAATAAATGATATTTGCATACAAAAATTCCAATAGTGAAAAAAAAAAGTTACTGTAACCTAATGGACATTCAGGCATTCTTCAGTAAGACACTTCTTTCGATTTTAAGCATTACATATAAGAATATTTTAATGGGCAACATGGTGGTTCATGCTTTAATCCCAGCTTTTGAGAGGCAGAGGCAGATGGATCTCTTTGAGATCCAGACCAGCCTGAGTTACATAATGAGAGCCTCGGGTGTGTGTGGGGGGGGGGGGGTACTCAACTAAATCTCTGTCATAGGAACAAAAATCATGCAGCACATATTCTCAAGAATTTAGCTTATTCTGCAGGACTACACATAGCTCATTCCTTCCAAACAATGGCTACTGAACCACATATATTGGAACCCATTTCTTGATATAGAGCAGGTCTCCCTGGATTACTGAGAGTTTTGCTACAGAGCCACATGCTGAGAAGTGATTGGGGATCTGCACTCTCTAACCCTTTTCTCCATCCCATTCCAATCTGTGGATCTATATTATTCTCATTACTTGGTTGTTGGGTCCTCTCTAGGCCGGCAATCATGGTGCTCCCTGTCTATTATTACTGATCCCCTTTGTCACTGTCCTTCCAGACACATCTGACTGCTTTATTGCTATCCAACATGTCTTTACCCTTCATCATTTTGCCTTCTGTTTCCTTCTCTTCTCAGCCAGCAAACAAAGGAGGTACACTTCACAGGTACAACCAGCCAATCAATATTCCTTTTTCCTTTCAATTAGAGAATAAAACAACAAAGTGAAGCAGGGAGATCTTTGGTTTCTCTGAGTTGTTTTCATCATAATCTGATACTGAAAGTTTTGTTCATTGTACAAAAGTGACTTTACAGTTTTGCTTTTGTTTCTGTTTAATTTCTAAGTATGGGATGACTGTAGATAGCTAGCCTAATCATTTGAGGGTTCTTACTATTAAAGAACTTTGAGGTTGAAAAGCAAGAAAACTTATGGTGATTGCCATCTTAAAAGGCAACCCAATACTTAAAAATATCACAATTAAATCTCAAAAAGTTTTGTTAAATCAGATCTTAAATTAACAAGCTTGAAATATAGCTCAGTGATATAGCATTTGTCTAGCATGCATAAGGCATTGGTTCAGTCCCTATTATCACACCTTCCCCCCAAACTGGAAATGGTTACCACACCAGTAATAATTTCAATATGTGTGCTGCTGTGGCAGAAAAATCATGAGTTTGAAGCCAGCCTGGACTACAAAAACTATTCCAAAAAATCCAAAGAAGACATGTGGACAAAAAGCACAGGAAAAAAAAATATGTAATATCACCAATTACTACAGTATTGTGAATCAAAACCATAGATAGTCCTATATAGGTATGAGTATGGCAATTACTGTTTTAACAGGTTTGGTGAATGTGGAGAAATATTCACAACACTGTGGGAAAATTAGAACCCTGTGCACTACAGGTGGGAAAGAAAAACCAGGAAGTCATTGTTGCTCAGATTTTTGTCACTATAACAATTACTAAGCTGATCAACCTATAAAGAGAAAAGGTTTACTCTGGCTCTCAATTTTAGACTTTTTGGTACATCTGTGGCTGGCCTTGCTGCTTTTGTAGCTGTGGAAGGGAGCACATTATGGTGCGAACAGAAAGAAGCCCAAGGCAGAGAAAAATGCTCATTTATTAGTCAAGAAGCAGAAGCATACAGAGGAGGAAGGTATTAAGGTTACACTGTCCTCTGCAAGGTCATGCCCTCAATGGTCTAAAACCTCCAACCAGGACCATCTTTTTCATCATAGCACTTCTCTAGGGACCAAAACTTAAGATATGAACATTCAAGATATAAGGTATTCCAAATTGTTTCATTTGTGAATATATAACCAGAAGAAATGAAAGTAAGACAGGTGTTTATGCACACAACAGAATCATTTACAGTAGCCAAAAAGTAAAAGCAACCCAAGTTTCCACAGATAAACAAATAGGTGAAAAGGAAAACGTTTATACAGTGATGATTATAGTCAGCTTTTAAAGGAAGGGCTTTCTGACATATGGAATAACATAGTTGAAACTTGGGAACATTATTCTAAGTTTAAAAAGCCAGTCACAAAAGGACAAACGCTATTTAAGTACACTCATATGATGTGTCCATAGACGAAGAAAGAAGCTCCATTGTTGCTAGGGGCTAAGGGTAGTTGACTATGAGGAATTAGTGTTTAAAAGGTACAGAGCTTCATCTAGGGAAGATAAAAATACTAAGACAAACAGCAATGATGGTTACACAACGGTATAAACATATGTTGTGTTAGTCAACTTAATCCTTGAAATTATTAAAATATTTTATGTTAGGTACATTTTACTATAGTGTTAAAGTAAAAGAAAAGTAAAATTAGCACAGAGAAGTATTCGGTAAATACTGATGCTATTGGGCAAACTCAATCTAACAAAAACAAAGGCAGCACATGTTACATCAACTGACTAAATATTGGTAGTTTGGGTAAAGCCTAATGAAGAGCATGGAAACACCTTAATGTGCACTGACCTGGATCCTCATCACCATGCTAAGTTGCTTGTTATTAAACATGATCTCTCATGAACATAACAAATCACTGAATAGTAAGTCTCCAGACTGGTAACCCTGCATCTTTACTATTCCAAGTGACAACAAATGTATTTCAACCTCTCCTAGGTGTTCACATAAAACATACCCCAGCTACAGAGTCAGCCTCTTAATCAGTTCAGACCTCTACTCAACTACCACTTTAGCAAAGAGACTTCTCTAGCATAGCACTCCCATCATCCTCTCCCCCCTCTACTTGCTTCATTTTTCCTTGCGATCCTCACTTTTTATGCATTTGCTTATGGATTGTTCTCCACCCACTAGAATAAGAGTACACAGGAGTTTCTATTTTGTTCACTACTGTCTTCTCTTAACATGGACATTTCCTGACTTATTGAAGGTGGCTAGTCAATGTACTAGATGAACAAAAAGAGCAATGCTCACAGCTTTATAGATCCTATTTCGCTCTTGGCCTAGATACTGTTCTACCATTTGTAAGTGCTGCTGCAGTCACAGTCAAAAAGCTATTCCAGTCAGTTTCACTGGTTGAAGGGACCAGACTCCTAGTTTAAAACTAGGAAGGTTTACAGAAAGCTCTGCCACTGAAGCCTGAATTTAGCACCTAAAGAATGCTCTGATTCAGCTTCAGAATGAGTAAGGTCATGTGTCCCTTTCAAGAATGGATAAAGAACAAGGAGAAACAGAACACTTTTGACAGTGCATTAAGACAAAGACAAGCCATGAACTTTAACAGCAGCACCACACTGCACCTATTTATAAACAAACAAAACAAGGCAGTATCAGGTCCAGACCACAAAACTTTCCCTCAACAACTTTTTTGAGGATTTGGGGAAAACAGACAATGCTTTTTGTCTTTAAAACGCAGCCCAAACACAGGTAAACAGAAGTTACTTGGCCCAAAAGGTTTAGAAAACGAGAAGCACAAGATGCTGCTTCCAAATGTAAGTAACTTTAGGAAGAATATATACATTCTACTAAGGTTCATACGATACAAGCTTGGAGGGTATTTTATAACTACACTTTAATGTTTGCAATAAATGTATGCCAAAGCTTTAGCGGTTAACGCTTTTTGCATAAAAACATACAACTAAAAACAACTTCAACCAGACAACTGCAATTCAGTAAGTGGAGGATCCCTTGCTGTGTCTAAGGTCTCTGGTGATAACCAGAGCCTTGTGGGCTCAGATAGCAGGCTAACCACCCCAGGACACACGTGTTCCTCCGGCCTGGAGAGTGGATAAGGCAGATGGAGGCAACCCTCTGCAAGGTCTTGGACACAGGTCAGAGATGTGCCCTGGAGACGATGCGTGGCTTATGACAGTCAGGAACGGGGGATC